CACGACTGCCCGTATACAGACCCAATCACAGTCTTATAGGCACAGCGCCATTCTAAGCTGGACTCCGAAATGCATCCTGAACATCCACGTAAATTAGACGCGGTCTCTTATAGAGAACAACGTGAAGTGTATCTTAGCGCAGAGCTTTAAGCTGAGCCTCACTTGCTGGATATTTTGACGTCATGGCGGTTTTGCACCTGATTTTGAGCTCGTCTAGTATCCCAAAGCGATGGCGATATTGCTGTAGGACCCGGCCGAATCACGTTCCACGTTCTTTCTGGAGAGTTTCTTATCCACAGTTTTCTAAAGGGTATTTGACGGAAACAAGTTCCCCAGTGTGCCACTAGTTCCGCTCAATTACTCATCACAGTGAAACCGTGATTGGACTGCGCTCGTTCCCATCGACGATAACCTCGTAGCCAGTCAGTGCCCTCTTTGGACGTCCTTGATGACGCCGTGGGGTTTTTTGCTTATCGTCCTCCCCTTCTAGTCGACGTTGCGTTATGCTTTCACATCGATTGCACCGGCGCATCAAATTTCGTCCGTCGGCGCACTACGTTGGCTGGTTCCCCCACGGAAAATTCCGGAAAAGCCGTCGATTCGACGAAACCGGGTCGCCCGGCGATTCCGTCGCCACTTAGCCGATCCGCCGCCGCGGTTACTGTACAATGAAGCAGAGAGTACGGTACGCCGGAGGGTGCCAGACAACCACACGGGGTTAGAGCGGGCGCCACGATCGCGCACGCCACCATGGTGACAGATATACCGTATACTTATCCCAGTGATATTTACGAATACAACCTCATCGCCGGATTTGTGGAAGCTCTCATAAAAATAGATTTTGTGGGGAGGGCGAATTATATTTAGTAGTAGCCATTGCGATTGTAATTAATGCCATGAGCAGGAGTTGAAGTTAACAAGCGGGTTAGTATTCTAGAGGAGTTGAGGACAGATAAATGCCCTGGTTACCCCGCTCATCGAAAGAAGAGGGAGCTCTGTAAGAAATCCTAATATTTCTGCTTGTAGCCAAGCAGGAAGCTGTTTCTGGAAGTGAATCTAAACTGGCAGCTGAGCAGGAAGTTTCTCTTCGCGTGGAGAACATCTAAGAGCTTTCCCAGCTGTGGTAAAATTTAAGAAGATCCCCGAACAAGGCACCGAATCGTCGGGCTCCAAACCAAACATAGAGTCTTTAGGTGCACTCGTGAAAACTTCTCCTCAATTTTATGAACTCAAGTGCTTCTTCAGTACATTAATAACGGACCAATCCAGGAAGGACTGAATGGGCAGAATACATTGAAGTGCAGATCGGCATGAGGGGGGGAGGCAAATGGTTCACAGCAAAGCCTGTACGGACCACCTTAAGAAGTCCTGTAATACCCGGCGATAAAAGTAGCTCTCATAGACAATTTCGCAGCTTCACAGGAATTCGAAGTGAGACTCAGTTAACATGCTCTAGAAAGGAACTGGTGAATAGTGGGCAAGCATGCCCCCTCCAAGAAAATATTAACTACGTACTGACATGATTCGATAGCCTATTTATATATTTAAGAATTGATTCTCTCAGTATCTTCTTCTTTTGTTTTGTTAGTTCATTGGCAATTCTTTGGCTGAAAATCATATCAATCCTTTCTAGGGTATGACCTCGCAAGATTACGCGGCCTCCGTACAACCGACGTATTCAACGAACACCAACGCCTACAATGCCTATCAATGGCCCACAGCTATTAATGGGATAAATACGTTGAATACGCTTGGAACTTACAATCCATACAATAGTTATACTACCACGACGACGCAGATGAACAACGCCTATGGCGGTTTTCGAGTTGGTGGCGGCATTTCTCACTATCGGTAAGTTTGACCTATTCAGTTGGATTAAATAGTCCTGAAAGGGAGTAGAGCCCATAGGGTTTATTCACAATGGCACGTTTTCAAAAATCAATATTAAATCGTTCCACGTTTCAGGTGGCAGCCGAAGCGCATCGGGTGGCAGCACAGGAACGACCTTGTCCGGAACTTCCGCCTCGACCGCCTCACCATCCCGTGGATCATCCTGTGGTGGAGGCGACCAGCAGCTTACCAGTTCTGAACTGGTATGTCTTGCCAAACACTTTCAGGCGCAGTTCGGCTTGGTGGGGGCATTTTTCTGATTTCCATCGATGACCGGCGTTGCCTTCTGTAGGGACCTGCGAATTTCTGGAAAGCTATGCAAATGCAGGAGCTCCACTACCACTTGACAAGAGCTTATAGGTCTCTGCAGGTAGAGACATGTAATTCTACAGGAACTAGCAAAAGAAGAAAGGGAAAACCTTGAATGCCCCTCCCAAGCCTAACAGCGCCAGTTTTCAACCAGACAGCGTACGCTACCGTAAACGAGACATGATTTTCAGGCAAGAATTCGACGTACCGGCAACTATGGTTGTGCGAAACCGCCGTATTCCTACATATCGTTGATAACGATGGCTATTCAGCACTCAGCTAACCATAAGATGACCCTGTCAGAGATCTACAATTGGATCATGGACCTGTTCCCCTATTATAGGCAGAACCAGCAAAGGTCAGGAAGAGGGTTAGCGAATTCCATACTTATTGATCGATCATCCTGCTTGACCCTTTTTGAACACGCTAGGACCTTATCTCCCATTAAAAGACGTCGGATTTTGAAACCCATCATGAAATTCATTCTTAAATCAGGAAATAATTTTCAGTGACCCTTTAGAGCAGTCCTCAAAATAGGGTGAAATTTGAATTTGATGTGGGCAACTTTCGAAATGAAACGGGCAAAAGGGCTGAGTAGTAAGGGCAGGAAAGGATAGGATGAGGTAAAAGTGGAAGTGTCGACCCATTTTGGACATAATTTCTCATTTTCAAAAGAACAGACCTTCAAGAACCTACTTTCAGGTGGCAAAACTCAATCCGGCATTCCCTATCGTTCAATGACTGCTTTGTGAAGATTGCTAGGTAAGTTCTACCCTCTAGCAGGTTCACAAAGCCTCGATAATTAACCCTGGCCCTATTCCAGAACCCCGGATAAGCCAGGAAAAGGCTCATTTTGGACATTACACGAGCTT